CCCTGCTAAAAAGGTTTGTGTGGAGTAGAAAAGAGAATTTGTTTCCAGTGATTCCCTCCCTAATTAGCTTCCTTGCCCATTTCTTGCCCACCCTTCAGCCAAGAGGATAAGGACTGCACAGACACATTTCCCACCACAGAGGCCATGTAAAGGATACAAATTGATATTAAATAACAAGTCCTGATTGTGAAGCTCTAAAAGAAACATTTTGAGGCTCTTAACAACTTCTTGTAATTTTAGACCCATCATTTTTAAAAATTATGTTCTCTTATTTATTCATCTAACTCTTAGGAAAAAAACAGAGCAAGACGTTTACCACCTCAAATGTGCAAAGTTCTATTGTAATTCCTACAGACATTAAGCAATGACCAGGACAGATCCCTGGGCTTTCCTGTATTCCTGTATTCCTGTATTTCCTCCGCTCACGCACAGATTTAGGACAAAGATTGTTTTAAAATCTGTTTGCAGGCAGTAACCAATATCGATTATTTTGAATCTTTGTGTGAATGAGGGGAACTTGTAACTTTGGTCCAGATGTTTCAGACTGTGTTGTCAAGGAGCCAAATATTTCAGACAGTATTGAATGTATATAAAAAGTTTGTAAGAGAGTTCTTTGCTTTATTTTAATAACATTTAACACTATACAGTTCTCCAAAGCCTTTCATCTTCATTTGGTTTGATAAACTTTGTGCAATTAATCATAGAAATTATCCTACCTTGTTATCTGGCAGACCAGCTGACAGGTCTGAGGTTAAAGTACTTTGATGAAAAATTATGATCATTTTGTGTATATCACTGTGATTGTGTCATGGATGCAGGCAAGAGCTGGGTTTGCAATTCAAACAGTACATTCACTTTGCAGTGGTTTATAGAAGACAGAATGAAAGAAAACTATCACTACCTATTAATTTTTTTAATGAGCTTATGAATTTTAAAAGGCATTTCATGGAACAAAAAAGCCAACAGCAAGTATTTATGTGAGAATAAGAATGAGAATTAGATACAAAAATCAAGCAAGAGAAGTTAGTTTAAAAGTATAGCCTTTTTTCTTCTGCTCTTTTGTACTTATTGTTAAAATGGTGGTCTATCACTATAAACTATTAGTGAATTAATATAGCACATAATGCAAATTGGATATGAATAGTGTACAGCAAAAAGGTAAATGGAATAGTCTGCAATTTTCTCGTATGCAAAATGATTCTCATTTCCTCTTTACCTCTGATTTCACATTTAGCATGCAAAATAAAACCTTAAAAAATTAAACAAGATTTTGCCCTTTTTGAAGGAAACATTTTTAGTGATTCTAAAAATACACATCAGCCACTTAATGGGTTTTATATATGCAGTTGCCACAATGCACCAGATATATAAGGGAAGTGTTATTAGAAGCTAATGCAAGAAAACCAAGATAAAAGATTGTTGTTCTGTCCTGTGTTTTGGGAGGTGCTGTCTACATTTTCAGAGCCTTCCAGACCAAAGAGCATTATAGGCGGGATGGCACTGCAGTGTACAGTGTTGGTGCTCAACAGCCCACCCTGACCATTTCTGCTCCACTCCCTTCTCCTCCCTCTGCCATCACTATCTGGCAGGTCAAACCACTGGTCCTGGAGTTTGAAGTCCACATTTCCTTAGATGGAAGAGGGTTCCCCCATGGCCCAGGCAAATGTATAAACCACAGTTTGCTCTGCCAAAACAAGCTGGTTAACTGGAGCCAAGGATATCAACTGTTTTAAGTTAATTACAATTGCATATTTGGTGGCAAAATTATACTCACGAAAAAAATTGTCATACCCTGTTTTAGAAAGCAAATTTACAAAGACACTGACCACTGTCTGCATTTTAGATGCTCTGATCCTTTCATACTCAAAAGCGTTTGAAATCAAACAACAGAAATTAAGGTGCACAAAAGTAGAGATGAATTTGAAAACAGCAGCCATATCTAAACTCACAGAGCATAAGAACCAAAATTAGCATAAGAATTTCCTAGCAAGACCTAATGATGCTATAAATTGGCAATGAGGACAACACTTAAACATGTGTTATCACTTTTACAAGTGATTAGTGAAGAAACTACAGTAACCAGCAATTTTTTGAAGCTGTCTGGTATGCTATTGTGTGTAATTAAATGGTCATTATAAGTCTGGACAGCATAGGGTTTTCTCGATCAAACTAAATCATGGAAATCAGAGAGGAAGACTGGGTTTTTTCATGTTAGCATTGCAACTAAAGATAAAGAATAGCTTTATGCCTTCTAAGTGATATCTTAGGTCAGGGCCTGAGATACTCAAGCTGCTCAGAAATATATGCTAACAAATCTTGATCTTTTCATATTCTTAAGCAGGGAAAGTCACTGTGATGATTAGGAATGCAACAACAGTCATGGCTAGTACAGCTCAAAGAGTGAAAGACCTGTATATAAAGCAGTGTTGGAGCACTATTGTACCAAGAGACTTGATTTTTAACAATTCAGTCGAAATCACAAGAGGAATGAGTATCTCATCATAAAGGAGTTCTGTTCACCATGCAAATAAAAGGGACAAATAAAATGGATTTATACAATTAATGACTAAATCATCCAACAGAGCAAGTAGGTCCATCTGGGTATATCAGTTACTTGTGATGCTTTGAAGCTAAGTATTAATCTCATTTTTTAAAGAAAAAAAAGCTGTTTATTTTGCATATATAGTATACCTATACTAGGTGAGAAGGCATTCACAAACCTGAATTCAGTTTATGTTCATTCACAGTTGAAAATAAGCTTGGAAAACTGTGTGTTGCTTGTAGCACCCCATAAGGAATGATTCAGTCCAAAAAATTGCCCTCAGGAACAGTATAAAATCCTGCTATTTGATAAAGCATTACCAGGAAAGCATAGAAGGAAGCCAGTATTATTTGGATTCAAATTTCCTACTACAGAGCAGCAAAGACCTTATTGTAATATACCCTAAAGCCTTTATACATTTATTTACCTGAGAAGATGAGAAATGACCTTTACTACAGGGTCAGATATACTAGGAGACTTGAGAGACAGGTGGAAGGTTTTAGCTGACATTGTTCATGCTTAATAACCCTCCCCAACCTTGAAACTGGCTGCAGAGACAGACAAGTCAAACATTTTCTCTTGCAGCTGTTGAACACCTTAGAATACTAAGGTATGTTTCTCAATATTCACTGGGTTGCCATTTTTCCTCTTATTCTTTATGTAACATTTTACTAAGTGGTGTAACTATCCACAAGACAGCAGTTACTTGGCTTGGGCTTGGGACCACAGAGGAAAGAAGCTGCCATTTATACAAAATAACATCACCAAAACAGCAATTTGTTGGTAATGGGTATGTCCAGGCCTACATTCCCAGGACCTAGCATTACTTCCAATGCCCCCTCCTCACAGCACTGTCCTGGGGAAATTATTTTTCATTTCTCTGCCACATGCATATCTTTGGACATCAATATCTGTGATGACAGATTTTTTACGAATATGATTCTGAGCCCTTTTGTGCCAGTGTGTTGTTTAGTTTTCCACCAGTGTGCCCAGCTGCAGAGATGAAGCCCCAAAAGATACTTGAAGTTTTCTGATATGGAGGCACAATATGATTTCTATTTTGCCAGCAATAAATGAGACAAAGGTTTCATCTCCAGTCCTTGCCTGTTGCTCTTTAATACTTCATTAGCATCTGTACATACAGCAAGAGCCTTTAGTTTTGATCAAGAATCCAGGTCCCACTGTGAAAAGGGCTGGATAGATATAGTCAGGAGAAACAATTTTCACAGGTACTGTGAAATGGTACTCCTTTAATGGGAGTACCTTTTCGTTTGGGTTTTTTTTAGTATCACAGTATTTAAAGAGAGGCCTAAAAATGAATTTAAAAGCCAAACTTCAAGCTTAATAGATAATTTGCTAATAAGTTTTAGCAAAACTTCAGTGTGTGAAATAAAAGAGCACACACAGACACACTTCAGAGTTCCCTTTCTCTCCAAATTAAATTGCACTTGCTATAAAATTCCATTTTACTACCCTGGCCCAATTTTCCTACACTGCTAAAAAGCCCTAAGCACAGCCTTTCAAAGGCTTGTTGCCGTTCTTGCAGCCTTCTTCAGGTTTTCCTTGGAAGGACTGGAGATACTTCCACAAATAGTCTGAGTCATCTAAACATACACAAACACAACCTGCAATCTCACCTGCAGAGGCACTAGCAGGGGAGACCTGTTACCCATTTCAGCCTCGAGGGCAAAATCTTTTCCGTGTTTAGGCCAGCTGTCAGTTCACAGTCTGTATGATGTTGGCTTGGCCCTGCTGCAATGTCTGATTTCCTGCAAGGTTATCTGGAAGAAACAGGCATCATGAAAGAAATCTTTCTCAGCTTAGACACAGAGCAGAACTGAAATACAAACTCTAATTAAGGTGTTTCTGCCTATATATTTGTGCTTACTTTCCCAGTTTTGTTCTTTGGGGGTACTTTTAATGGATTCATTCCCTGATGTTGCCTTTCCAACTCTCTGTTAGCAGAAGCACAGAGATTGCAACATCCTTATCTCTGCAAGGTGAGGGAGAAGATGCTCAGTAGTGTCTGTCTATTGAAAGACTTAAAGTCTCAGAGAGAAGAAGCAAAAGTAGATGAAATATCAAAGTAATGGAAAAGAAATTGAGGGAAAATCTGTGAACATTTTCAAGAAGCAGTAAAGAACTGATTGTCCTGCCCAAAGGCTTTTCTGTCCTGCTTCATATGTTGCTCAAAGGCTTAAGAAAAAGTGAAAACCTGTGCTAACCTCATACCTGATGCATGGGAGAGAATATATTTTTCTGTTCTCTTTATATGCTTCCATGTGTCTTCCTTATAATTCAATATACAGAAAAGTAACTTCAAAAGAAACAGGTGCAAAATCAAGCACTTTAAAGTTAGGACATGCCAGGATTATTGATGCACAAGAATTCTTAATTCAGAGCATTCTATGTATAAACATGGTTTTTAATTACAAGCTCATGTATTATTTCTTCATCAGGGTATCTGCCTTGTTCAGTGAAGACTTCTTTTTATCCACAGCATTCAGCAAGTGGCCTGCAGGCCTTATTTAAACTACCCTGTACTGAATACAAAATGATGTCATTTGTTCCTAGTCCTCCACAAAATTTAAATACATGCATCTTTATGGCACCTCTATGAGTAAAACTGATAGCATTCATCTTATAGGAGGGGAATTAAAGCATTGAGACTAAGGCCGCTGCTTTCTGAGCCTCCCCAGTGCACACAGGTCCTTGGCCTCTATAGCTTTATTTTTCCTCAGACACTGCTTCTTTTTACCTGCATAGTTTGAGTAAGTATGTAAGCAACATAGAAAGACATACATGTCTGCTTTGAAAAAAAGGTAGAGGCACAGCTTCTTGAGACAGACTAGTACCCACCTTGAATTCCTCCCCACCAAACTCTTCACATCTCCCACCCTGGCTGTGGCATTGCACCCCTGCCACTACCTCCCGGTTCCCTCTTCCCACACTGCTCTCAGGAGTTTCCAATTAAAACTCAGTGCAGCGCTAGAGTTTCTTATCATAATTTTTGTTTTAACATTACAAAATGACACATCTTTGCCCAAACTCCATCTTAAAATCAGACAAACCATTTTGGCTGTCAGACAGGGAAAAAATCCCAAATCCCTGATGGACAGAGATGAGACTTCAGCTGGAACTGTGTGTTGGGCAAAGTTACTACTGATAGACAAGGTGGTCTATAAATAACTCACATAAAATGATGTTGAGGAGCCACTCCTGTGGCTGTAAAACCAAATATTTTAGGAAATGCCAGAGAGCAGGAACTGTGTTCAAACTTAAGTCAACGCCACAACAAATCTGCTCCAAAAACCTCCTTAGCTGACATAATGCTTTTATTTACCTGTATGTTACAGCTGGAGATGCATGCTAAACCACACCATTTTTTTCTACTGCAATACAGCAGGCTGAGTGAAAGTTTTCACCTTAAAAATGAAGTATTGGGAATTTTGTCATCATTTACCACCTGCCCTCCTTTTGGCTACTTCATTTCCTCATTTGGTGATTCCTATGGGAAGCTGCACTTGCACAGGTGCCTGTGCTTTGCTAATGGGGGAAGCCAGCAGGGAAAGCCACCCCCAGCCTGACAAGTGTCATGGTCTCTCCATAGTTCAGCAGCTGACTAGGCAGGAGGGAGGCGAAAATGAAATCCAGATGGTTTGTCCCTTTCACATGCTGTAAAAGCATCCTGAACTTTTTCAGCTCTGCCACCTGCAAAATGAAATGTTTCATTTTTAAAACATTTTAAGTATTATCTTTAAAAATAAACACCGGAGGAACTGCAGTAGATTGCCTGCTGTTATTGACTCTGGAAGGACTGCTGACTGAAGCGCTACACACCAACAGAGCAATAGCAATTTAATGTTCATTAGTGTTTAGAGCAGTTTCTCAGTGAGAAGATTAAGAGGCCAGGAAATCCACCAAATTTCTTTCCTTTGTTTGAGATTCAAGGTAAGAAAATGCATGCAGCATTTTCCTGTTCAAATTCTTCAGGAGACGTGCCCACAATGGGAGATAAGATGTCCCCTTCAGTACTCACAAATTCTTTTAAAGGATGAGTTAAAAATAAAATATTGGTCTGTGAAGGTGAATCTTGATAATGCAGCCTTACAGTATCTTTCAGAGGAAACAAAAGGAAAGGTGCTTTGCTGCTACAGCTCAGAAATTGCTTTATTATCTGACTCACACTTGGAGCAGAGCAGCCTCCAACCCTGGCATCTATCACAAAGCATCAGAATAACAGCATCACGCTACAATTTTAAAATTACAATGGAAAGAAGCTATTATTTCCACTTTGTAGGGCTATGCCAGAAGCCAGCTCTCTGCTATCTAGAATAGCTATTTCCCCCCTCAGTGTCAGAATGTGCCTGTTTGGGGCTCATTAGAGCATTTTTTTTGGTCCAAATATTTTTGCCTTCCTACAGTCAAAAAGAACAGGACTGAAAAAAATCGGCCTTTTTTTTTTTTCTGTTGGTTTCCCTACTGATATATTTGCTAATACAGTAATTAAAAGCAAATTACACTCTTCTATAACTACAGAAGTAATTATGGGCCATATCTAATAATGGTTGCCAAAACAACTTAGAACTCTGAAACTATCTCATAGAATGCTTTCTCCCCTGTGGGTATCTAACAAGCTCAGCAGCTTCTTTCCTTTCCCAGCCAATCTGTCTCAGCACTAAACGTAAAAATCCAAATACCATCCTCAAAATGTATCTAGAGTTTCACCGTAGATGAAACTCCCTGCAGATCAAATCTTAGCTGATAACAGAGGTGAGATGCCCCAGAGCACAGAGACAGGCCAGTATGACAAAGCAGCAGAGTCTGTCTCCCTGTATTTATCCAGCTCCATGGCTTCACACTCCTGCTCCTCTCTTTACAATCTCTGTCCTTTGACACAACCCGTTTTTATTTGGCCAGGCAGGCCAACCCGTGCACAGGTCTCCATTCCTGAAGAGTTCAGGTGTCTCACATTATAGCCACACTTGGTTGGAGACACTAAACTGGTAACCAGGCTATACCATGATGTTGCTGCGGTCCTGCTCTTCGACAGTACTGAGGGACATTGAGAGAGCACCTTCCTAAACTTCCTCACTCTTTTCCAAGCAACTCACCATTCTTTCTGGGTCCCCTCTAGATTTCTGTTCCCAGAGAGCCAAGTGCTGCAAGTAGCTACAAGGGAGCACCACTGCACCTGCACAGAAGCAGTAGTCATTTGTGGTTATAAAATGCAAGTCTGTCCCAGCACATCCACAGACTAAAGGGACTATCTCCCCTCCTGTGATGGAAACACTCTCTCTGGAACAATTGAGATCCCACTCTCTGTTTCTCATGCTCACGAAATAAAAGCCTGGTTTTATGTTTTCCTTAGTGCCTTTTAGCCTAGGCACTAAAGATTATGGTCATTTGTTTACTTATAGCAGATGCAAGGCATTACTCAATACACACAATAAGAATGCACCAAAGACAGAAGCCGTAAAATATTTCTGGTGCTGTATTAACACTGAGAAAACCAAGGAAGTAAAAAGCAGACTGAATGACAGGCTTTTTAAACCAGATTTACTAGATTCAATATCTTAACTTTCTTTTACAATCAACATGCCAAGAGAAGAAAAAGCTGCATTTGGGCAAGCTCACAGTGTTTCTTTATTTCCAGCTTGTACCTTCTTACATCTCACATCTGACTGAGCCACTTAATTCAAAGAAGATGAGCTGTTAGGTCACATTTAGTGTCAGTGAAATGTGTCTGAACAACAGTCCCAGAAAGGGATCTAAATCTTTGAACATCCGACCTGTTAAGGAGCCCAAAAATGCTGAAGAAAATTATTTTAAATTAAAAAAAAGAAAAGCACTTTTGCATTATTCTCCCGCTATTTTTTTAAGAATAAAAGGTCTTGAAAAATATCTGCCTATGTTGTTTTTTGGATTTCCTCTGTAATAATGAGCTATGCAGACCCATTCTGGTTTGTTTTTTCTTCAAGAATGCACTACTTCATCTTAAAGCAGGAAAAATAAAGTAATATTGCTGGAATAAGCCTAGAGTGACACAAAACTAAGTCAAATTATCACCTGGAGTTTTTATTCTTTTATGGATTAGCTATTGTTACGATACTTCGTACAGTTCTTATCTCATTGAAGTTCAGGGAACTCTGCCATTTATTGCAAGAAAATAAATAAATGTTCTTGCTCTCTCCATATCACTACTTTTAAAATTAATATCACTACATATGATTAAGTACATCTAATATTTCTGCCAAGGGAGCAGAAGTACGTATCTCCATGAGATCATACATGTAGTAATTTTCAGACCGCACTTAGGCTCTACTGTTAGAAACAAGTGTCCTGTTTTCATAAGGATTGCATTTATTTTACTTTTTTACATTCTGAGTATGCATTATTTGTTGCAGTACCTTCTTTCATGATCCATCTCCCCTCTTTAGTAAAATTTAGTACAATTTCCCAATTTATTTGGCTCCAGAGTCAAATTTATGTCATGTGTTTTGCCAGACAGTGAATACACAGTCCTGTACAGCATTTAAATCAATCAGGTCGTGAGATCTCAGTCCTGGCGAGTTGATCTATTCCAAAATACAAAAATATGCCTCTGTATAAATAAATCTGTAGCTGTAGTACATATATCAGCAAAGGAAAGGAGATCAGGTAGCAGCAGTATAGTATGAACAAACGCTGTGAATTAATGCTTATGCTATCTGTAATAGATTTTACAGCGCTTCTGAAAAGAGAGTCCAACACATTCTTCCTAACAGTCACCATTATATTTTTGCTTGTTTCCTTCTACCTTACTGTAACTGCAGTCCTCAGAGATACGATGCATCTGTAGGAACTCATCACTATGTCAGATTGTTTTTCAACCCTAACACTTTAAAAGCCATTAGAAATGGACAACGAGACTTCCGTGACTCAGGAGGCTGAACATTTCATGGTTCTCATCTATGACCTTGGTGCTTGTTGAAACTCTCCAACTGGAGTCTTTTAAAAATCTACCCTGTGATTGCCACCCCATTCATTGCCCATCCTTAGATCCCAGCACCAGCACTGGAAGGACTGAGCTTCTCCTGTCCCAGGCACAAGGCTGCAGCATCACCCTTGTTTGGACCTGCAGGGGAGCAGGGAAAAGCCCTCCAGGACAGGTACACAGGGACTGAAATCGTAGGAGAGACCTTGGAGAACAGTTGAACAGAGGGTGCTCGACTATGGCACTTGTGCTGCTCAAATCCAGATTCATCTAGCAGGTATTTTTCCCTTTAAACATTCTTATGAGTTAAGCTCTAGCCCATATTTGAGGGAGAATCCCAGCAACACCTAGAAATCTAGCATGACTGAATGTTCTGGATGAACTGAGCAAGAATGAGTGCTTAGCCCATCTGCAGACATCCTGATCCTCTGCACAGCACCTTTGTTCTGAATCTAAGCAACTGTAGAGCTAATACCTAGAAATAACCAGTGGAAGTAGAGCTCAGGTGGCTAAAGCCTGTTGACAAACCATTCTTAGTTTTCCAAAGGAGACAAGGACAATGACTATAGAACTGGACACCACTTGCTTGCATAAAGCTACACACATGTATAGCAATTGGCAGTAGTATTACTTTTCACTTTGTCTCTCTTGTAGCAATAAAAGACTCCACAGCAAAGGTAAACTTGAACTGGAAGAGGTGCAGTGAAAAGCTTGTAGGACCCTTAGAAGAAGACACTAGAAGAACTTGGCATACATACCAGCAAAAGGAAGTCTGGGCAGGGATACAAGAGAATAAACCTCAACAGTTATGCTTCTAATGGACCTACAAGGCTATACTGGCCCAAGAACAAAAGGATATAAAACAAGCCTGACTGACTAGGGCTGCAAATTAAGAAAAGGTTTTAGACTCTCTCAGCAGTGCAGTTCTGAAAGTGCTCTTAAAAGGAAAAGTGTATGCTGGGACAACACAGTGAGACTGAGAAACCACCTGTGGCATACAGGGTATGTGGAAGCTCGCTACAGACTGCTCCATGCAGGAATCTAACTGCTCACCACAGGGGACAGCTATCTGTGCCAAACCCTGCTGGCCAAAACAATGATAGTCCAGTGTTGAAGTCATCTCAGTTTTTGTTAAAGTCAGGAGCACAAAGGAGTCAAGGTGAAAGTTTTACTAAGAGTGTCTATATCGGGGTTCAATTTCTAGTTTACAACCCTTTTTTTTTTTTTTACTTGGACTTAATTAAGCTGAATAATTAGCATTCAGCCTGACAATATGTGCGCTAGCCAAGTGATTTAGCTTCGAAAAACAATTACTTTTTTTATACTGTTGAGGAAACTAAACGAGGAATAGATTTAGTGAAGTATTTCATTAAAAGGACCCTGTGAAGGTGCATTTTTATTGATACAGGACTTAATTCAGTCTTGGCATAAACCAGGTGTAACACCAGGGCTGAATTTGCCCACTCTGTTAATTGTCCAGTGCTTGTTGGTTTAACCTATAGCACCCAACATGACTAAATTAGGTTTTAAACCTATGGGTTCACGTCAAGTTTGAGCAGACCATCAAGACTGGGAAAACAATGCTTAGTCATCATGTGTCATCTAACAGTAATGTTACATTGCCGAAGAAAATTGTTCACCTTGTAATCAACCTCTCGGATCTCCTGACAAAACCCATGGTAGATACAGATGCACAGAGACTTTTAGTTTTACTACAGAATGACAAGGAACTTTTCCGCTTAAAGCTACCAATCTTTCAGGTGCTCACGTATGGATAAGAAACAATGGAGTCCTTCCACGTCACATCAGTGTAAATGACAGCAGAATGTGGACACTAAAGTAAGCATATTCAACATGTCAAAAGTAGTAGACAGACAAGGGCAAAGATGTATTTGAGGTACTCCACAGAAGACTTTCTGAATAAAATATATCCGGAAGAGAAAAAACTTGGATGGAAAAGAGTGTAAAATAGTAATTTGCGAAGAAGGTATAAAAGCTGCAGTTTTTGGAGGAAAGAATTTAAAAAAAAAAAAGACCAGTACAAATGACAGATAAGTGCAGGGTGCAATGCAAAGGAAGACAGAAGGGTAAATAAGGCCCAGAAATCACAGAGGGGAACTGGGAACTAGAAGAAAAAGCAGCCATCTTAGGAAAGGTTTAGCTGACCTGAGCTCATCACAACAAGTCTTTGATGGAAATTGCAGGAGAAGAAGAGGAAAGGATGAATGATCCATGAGCAGAGTGAGATGACAGCCTGCCCCAGCTTTGTGGCATTAAGGTTTCTCTGTGGGTGAAGAACCACATGTCAAGAGATACCCTTCTCTAACCCATTCCAGGAATCCAAAATTCTGTACCATACCTTACAAGTTTGGGAGGTTTCCAGGATGCTGGTCACATATCTCACTCCACTTTCATGGGAGTTATTAAAGCAAAGAGGCAGAAAGCCTGTCATTCTCTGATTTTAGGGCATGCGATCTGATGCTGCAGGAACACCCTTGGTGTCTGACCCTCTCCCATAATCACCCTCACCCATAAGAACTGGCAAGTAACGTGGAAGGTCAGTCTATGAGACGGACCCACTTGAACATGTTTGAGTTTGTCAAGCCTGGGGGTATCACATGACCTCTTTTGCACTTGTGTGACAGTAAATTATAGTCTCTTGCGGTCAGAGCAGTACCCAGGTCAGGGACAAGATAAGACAGTACAGACTGTTCCTTCATGATTTATAAGTGAAGTGTTCCGTGCCGGTACAGTGAGGAGGCAGCTTTGCACCACACATTGTGATGCACCAGCACGAGCCAGGGTGGAGATTGGCAAGGGGAAAGCAGAAAGCTATTATTTTTGAGATTGTACTGTTCTGGGACCACAGTTACTCTGCAAATTGAATTCATATTGATAATATGTAGTAAGCAAACTATTTTTCAGAAAGACAAAATTTCTAGACTGTTCTCAGCTATGTAGAGAACAGTACCATATTTCAGAACAAACAGTATTAATTTTCCTTTTCCACCCTTAGATTAAAATAGGATTTAATTCAATGACCAGAAAAAAATACCATTAATAACTGGCTTATTCCTTGACACTGTAACTAATAAAAATACACTGACTGTTATTTGCTTTCATTCTGTCTGTACCACAGGTACCTTTGAGAACCAGAGAAAAAACATCTTCTGACACTGACCAAATAAAGCCATGTTATTTTACAGTTATTACATGCC